GAACATCTGCTGGGTGAGCTCGGGCACCGTCAGGGCGCGGTACTGCTGGCTGCCCCGGCTGGTCAGCGGCGCGAAGCCGGGCATGAAGAAGTGCAGGCGGGGGAAGGGCACCATGTTCACGGCCAGCTTGCGCAGGTCCGCGTTCAGCTGGCCGGGGAAGCGCAGGCAGGTGGTGACCCCGCTCATGGTGGCGGACACCAGGTGGTTGAGGTCCCCGTACGTGGGCGTGGTCAGTTTCAGGGTGCGGAAGCAGATGTCGTACAGGGCCTCGTTGTCGATGCAGTACGTCTCATCTGTGTTCTCCACCAGCTGGTGCACGGACAGCGTGGCGTTGTAGGGCTCCACCACCGTGTCCGACACCTTGGGCGAGGGCATCACGCTGAAGGTGTTCATGATGCGGTCTGGGTACTCCTCCCGGATCTTGCTGATGAGCAGCGTGCCCATCCCCGACCCGGTGCCACCCCCCAGCGAGTGGGTCAGCTGGAAGCCCTGCAGACAGTCACAGCTTTCTGACTCCTTCCTCACCACGTCCAGGACTGAGTCTACCAGTTCGGCGCCCTCCGTGTAGTGGCCCTTTGCCCAGTTGTTCCCGGCCCCGCTCTGGCCTGCCAGAGGGAAAGGAGAGTATTAGACAGGGAACCATAAGGAATTCAGAGTTCTGCCATTTTGACTCTGCACTAGATGCCTTTTCTTATCTACGAAAATTTCTCTATATCAGTGACCTTGAAAAACACTGGAGGTCATAATAAAATGAGTTTAGTTCAAACGAGGTTATTAGTTGAACAAAACTATTTCTTAAGGACAGAGAATTTAAGAATGACAACATTATATAAAACTTAAATTAAGGCTCAGTTGGTTGGAACTTTGTCCCTTATACCCTGTCAGGGCACACACCTAGGTTTTGGGTTCAATCCCTTGTTGAGGGCACATATGGGATGCAATGGATTGGTGTTTCTCTCTCACATCGATGTTTCTCTCTCAAATCAATAAAAACATTATCCTCAGATGAGGATTAAAAAAAACAAAAACTTAGCCAGACTAAGGTGGTTCAGTGGTTGAGCATCTACCTATGAGCCAGAAGGTCATGGTTCAATTCTGGGTCAAGGCACATGCCCAGGTTTAGGGCTCGATCCCCAGTGTCGGGCATGCAAGAGGCAGCCAATCAATGATTCTCTCTCATCATTTATGTTTCTCTCTCTCTCTCTTTTCCTCCCTGAAATCAATAAAAATATATTTAAAATCAAAATACTTAAAGCCCCGGGTATCTAACAGTGGACAATCAATTGTAGGGTGGGACGTGGCCCCCAGGGTGACTTTTCCTCTAGCATAACTCTGGTCTTGAGGTTTGGACACCCTGACTTTTCCTCCCTGAAAATAACATCTGAGCCTCAGTTGTATTTAAGCTCCAGGACCAGATAAGCAACCAATGCAGCCACAGCTGACCTCAGGACCAGCTGCACTGAATAATGACCCCCTGCCCTGGTGCCCACCAGTCAGTGGAAACCACAACCCTGAAAGGACACACCTGGAAAGCTGCTGAATATTCTATTGAGAACTATCCCTGGGACTTCTCCTAAAATCCCCACCCTTAAAACCCTTAGATGAAGGACCCAGTGTGCAGTCCCTCAAGGGAATGCCTCCTGCACTGTCTTTCTCTTTCCTTCCCCCTCCTGCCTCCAGGCACTTTACCATTAGCTTCCTCACTTCCAAGCTCTAAGGGCCTTTCCTTTACCTGAATAACTTGTTTCCTAAACCAATTCCTTCTGGGAATTACTTTTAATACCTCTGTAATTTACCTAATAAATGTTCTCTTACCCCCCCCCCCAAAAAAAAAAAAATAAAATCAACAACACTTAAGTTAGGCCCCATTACCAGGCAAGAGCAAAGACACAATGAGATCAGAGGAGAACACGGGCTCTAAGCAGGTGCTCACTCCTGTGCCTTTGCTTCTTGGAGTGGCCACCTACTGTGACGGGCCCTCTGAATTTACCATTAGCCTAGTAACTCCCGCTGGAAGCTTGTTCATCGCCTTCATTCCTTACCCTTCACAGGCTGCTCTGTGGTTCAGGGACTACCTACCACAGCCCCTGTAGGCTGACAGTGCTCTTAGAGCTGTCTGGTCAGTCACGACCTGTGGACTGGGTGGAATGAGGCCACGACTCAGGGCTCTGTGGACACACAGTGTCCACTTTCGCACTCAACACGAAAAACTCTGATTTCCACAGTGTTTAGGAAGAAGAAGATTAACTGAGTCAGTTCCCATTGATCACAACAACTTACCAAACACGAAGTTGTCGGGCCTGAAGATCTGGCCGAATGGTCCAGACCTGACGGAGTCCATCGTGCCCGGCTCCAGGTCCACCAGGATGGCCCGAGGTACGTACTTGTTACCTGCGGGGAGGAAGAGCTGGACTTAGATCTGCGGTGGCAAAGGAATCAGACAAGCTGGTGCTCTCTGCGCCTTTCACAGCAGAGTTCCCTAGAGCTCATTCCAGCATGTGACACAAAAGGACAAGAATAGGGGAGCGTTGCTGCTTCACAAAGGAGCCAATGAGCAAGCTTGGCCATGGCAAACATGCAGGGTCTTAAGGCACTGTGGTGTGTTTTTTAGCAGCTGACATTTTAAATGAATGCAAGAAGCATTTCTCTGTCATTTGTATGTTCCTAGTACATTGCATCTGCCCCTGTATGGAAAGCAAGGTTGGAAGAAAAGCAAAAAACATTCAGATAATCACCAGCAGCTTCATTGTAGTACACATTGATTCTCTCCAGCTGCAGCTCGCTGTCTCCATGGTAACTGCCAGTGGGGTCGATCCCATGCTCATCACTGATGACCTCCCAAAACTGGAAATTTAAATTTAAAAAAATCACATGATGGCCTGGCTTCCTAAACATCAGTAAGGACGGCCCTTTTCTTCTCTGATGTCCTTGGGGCAGCGGCCATGGTGGTCAGATGGTCAAGGAGTCCCAGACAGGCCAGGTAGCTGAGCACCCCTGTCCCTCCAGCAGAGGCTGCTGAGGGGCTTGGAAACCGGCAGAGCATGGGCCATGTGATGGGGATAAAATGAAGAGCTGGGAGGGGCCTGAGGAGGAGGGTGGGCACAGCAGGTTGCCTGGAGGAGCTGTGGGTGCTGGGGAGGCTGGCACCCCCAGGCAGGGCTGAGGTCCCAGCGTCCAGGCTGATGGATGGCAAGACCCAGACCCAATTGGATCCCACCCTCTGGCTGCATTGGGAATCAATGTCTCCTGGCACAAGCCCCACCCAGCCCCCAAGTGTGCAGTTTTATGGCCCTGGCATCCATACTGGCCTCTGGCCACTGAGCTCATGGGGGATGGGTGGAGAGGGAAAGGGAGGAGTCTGGAGACAGGACTGGGGCATGAGTGGAGCTGATCCCTGGTGAAGGCGCAGATTCCATTGTGAACTGGCAGCAGGAAGGGCGGCACCGCGGATTGGGGAGCAGATGGCTGACTGGGTCGGAGGCCCTTGGTGCTTGGTCTGGGCTCCCTCCGCGGACCAGGCAGACCCGTGGGTGCGACCGACCAGGGAAGACCAGCCGGCGCGCAGGGCCCTGGCACCTGGAGGCTGGGTGGGAACATGGCGGTTCCGACAGAGACCTGTCCTCCCTCAGATGCCGCCCACACCCCCGCACCACGCTGCTCCGGCCTCGCCCACTTGGGTAAGGCAGCCCCAGTACCGTCACCTGCCGCCTGGGAGCCAGGAAGTCAGACTGGCATATATTACCATGCAGATGGTGCTCGGATTGGGGAAATGACCTAACATTCCGTCTCTGTATCCCAACAAGTAGTCTGCATAACATCTGTCACCTCAATGACACTGCAATTTTTTCATTCAAACTACAGACAAAAATATCCCAATTAAATTCCACACGAGGCCTCTGGATTGATACGGCCGCGGCCTCTATCCAAATTTCAGAGACTAATACACCCAGAGAAATGCCAACTACACGCAGCTGAAGGTCGGTTCCGAGGAAATTTCAAAAGGCCTCGGTTAAAGGCACTTGCAGCTGCGTCACGGCTGATCGCAGCAGGTGATGCCGCTTCCGGAGCCCGAGGGCGGCTGCCCCGAAAATGCGCCCGCGCCCCTGGTCCGGCGGTACTCCGGAGACCCGCTGCCACCCCGGCCCGCACCGTCGGGGCCCGCTGCCACCCCCGGCCCGGTCCGCTCCCTCGGGACCCGCTACCACCCCGGCTCGCACCCTCGGGACCCGCTGCCACCCACGGTGTCCGCCGCCCCCTCCAGGCCCCCTCTTCGGGAGCGCGCCCACCTTGGCGCCGATCTGGTTGCCGCACTGGCCCGCCTGGATGTGCACGATCTCGCGCATGGTGCCGGCTGCGGAGCGGGTGGAGGCGCTGGACCTCGGGACTGGGAGCGCGGCGGGACGGGAACTGGAGCCCTGAAACCTGCGGGTGCGCCTGGGCTCCACCTTTTATGCCGACAGACCCGCCTGTCCTGCGCTGACGTAATGGGAGGCGGACCTGGGGGGGGGGCGGCGCGCCCGAGACTGCGGCACCGCGAGGGGGAGCCGGGGCGCGGTGCGAGGTGCCGAGGTCCGGCTGGTCGTCGCGCCCACGGGGTCTTCGGAAGGAACCCAGATCCGGCACCCCAGGGCCTCCGACCCGGCCAGCCGTCCGCTTCCCGACCCCGGTGCGGCCATACCCTGCACTGGGTTATTCAGGAAAGCCGAATCCCCACCCCACCCCACCCCGTCCCGTCCCTCCGGGTCCCTGAGAGGCGTTGGAGGCCTGGGTCCTGGGACCCGGAGGAGGTCCTTGCCTCCGGGCGGGGGAGGGCGTGAGGCACCCAGCACCCTTGTGGAGTGGGGAGCCCAGAATTTACAGTGGAGTCGACAGCGGCTCGCTGAGGTTTCCTGCGTCCTGAGCCTCATTCTCTTTCGATTCCGGTGGGGGGGGGGGGGGTGCAGAGGGGGATTTGCGGCGATTATGAACCAGGGGGCCTGCAAGTGGGGAGGAGTGGGTGTTCCCGGTGAGAACGATGGGCGGGCAGCTGGCTTCAAGGAAAACAGGGAGGGAGGGTGGGCTGCTCTCCCCTCAGCGTGTCAGGAAGATGGTCGGTTTGGGAGGGGCTAGGAAAAGGGACGCGGTGCCGGATTTGTCTGCTTTGGGTCTTGGGTCCTTGTAAAGGCCACTTACCTGTGGAAAATTATGCGAGGCTGTGTGGCAGAGAGAGGGGGAAGGGGATGAATATGAATAGAATAGCCACGCTTCAGCCAAAGTACCAGTGCCTTACATACACGGTGTCACCTCATCCTCACAGCAAAATCTTACAGATCTGGGCATTTCAGGCCCGGCGCCACCAGCCACGGGTGAATATAGAACACGTGAAACGTGGGTAGTCTGAACTGATAAGTGCTTTCAGTGTGAAATACCCAGAGGATCCCATGGATTCCATAAGTTAAAAGAATGTTAAATGTTCCATTACTCATTTTGTATATTAATTACATATCAAAATATTTTGGATATATTTTGAAATTAATCTCACTAGTTTCTGTTAACTTTTTAAGTAACTTCTAGACTAGCAATAGCTACTAGAACATTTTAAATGACCAGTGTGGTTCACATTGGATTCCTATTGAACAGCACTATTCTGGAGCAAACTATCCCGATGTCAGTGCTCAGGAAGGGGCTGACAGAGCTGAGTAGCCAGAAAGCCAGTAAATGAAGGCACCTAGACTCCTTCTACAAAGAGAAGGCCCCCGGTGAGTGTTCAAGGTTTGGTTAGGATGAGGTATGGCCCAACCTAATTCTTCTCGAAGATGATTTTAACAGTGGGCCAGGTGAGCAGGGACCTGGGACTGCTTTTGTTTCTCAGCACATCCTGCTTTTCCTCTCTGGGGCCGGTTTCTCCAACTATAAAATATTGATAATTATAGGAGCCCTGAAGCCAGCTTTGTGAGCAGGAAATGAGCAGCTCTATATGAAAGCGGGTCGAGTTTCTGGAGCAAAAATACCCCATAAAACCCAAGGTGATGCAGTCATAAATACTAAGCCTATTTGTCATGTTACTAGTGAGCATATATCTGAGGTGCGTGGGCAAAACCATGGCTTTATCACCCTGCTTTAGGAAGCTGGTCTTTCAGGGTGCCCCCACCACACAGGCAGGCACCTGGGGCCTCCTCTCACAGTGGGTGGGGTTTCCTAGACTCTCCTCCTCTTTCCCCTCCCCACATGGCTGGGGCCCCACTAGGGCCCATCCCACAAGTGCTGTTCCCAGGTTCCTAGGGTTGGACCTCCACTTGCTCTCCACCTTTATCGCCAACTCACAGGTCTTGGGCTCTTCACGGCCAGCTGGAGTCTTCCAGAGCCTCTCCAGAGAATGGCCTGCTCCAGTAACTTCACTGATTACACAGTTCCACAAAGCCTTTCTGGAGATAATTGCCTCTTGGCCTTTGTTGTTTCAACCATGGTATGCCAAAGAAGAGAGATGATAAGACCAGGAAGGGATGCTATTGGGGATGTGAGGACTCTAACAGGTGGGCATCTCTTTGCCTGTGGAAGTGTAGATCACCCTGTGGAGTGTGCCCACTTGGCTGCATCCTGATTGGGTTGTTAAGCAAGTCACCTAACCTCTCAGAGCCTCTCTTACTGGTCTGAAATTTGGAAATCGGTTGTATTATGTTGTGAAGATGAGAGACTGTCTGTGAACTGGACCTTTAGTGTACATGCAGTCAATAAGTAAGTAGTCAATAAGTAAGTGACATTTCTTACAGCAGGGCCTCTGTGGGTTACTGGCAGCCAATGTTCTTCCCAAGGCTGCCTTCTCCTGCCCCAACCTTCTTACTTGTTTGCCCATGCCTCCTCCAACACCTGCCCCTGATGTCAGAGAACTGTGGGAGGCAGTTAGACAGACCTGAGCAGAGCAAGGATGATGGGCCAGGTACAGAAGGTCACCAAGGCAGAAAGCTCTGGGTGCCTAGCAACAGGCAAATTTGGGAAAACAAGGACCTCACCCCCAAGGTAACCTTTCCTCCCCTAGTGTATCACATAATCTCTGTGTTCCAAGTGCCTCATCTGTCATGTGGTTTGGACCCCTGACCTTTCATATCGCTGGTCATGAGGTTCAGATCCTCCCCTGACCTTCCCTCCCCTGGCATGTCGTTAGTCATGTGGTAGTCCCCTTCAGAGGAGGAACAAGGGCCGAAGAGTGGCCTCATTCAACTCCCATGTAGACCCTTGCTGGACCCCTCCCTTCAGCATTAACCCCTAGGCCTCAGTTGTGTTTCAGCTCCAGGCCCAGAAAAGTAGCAAAACAAGACAAGTGATGCAGTAGCTGAGATCAGGACCAGCTGCATTGACTAATGACCCCTGAAAGGACACCCCTGGAAAGCTGATGAATATTCTATTGGGATCCATCCCTGAGACCTCCAGGTACATACCCTCAAGACGGATGGCCCAGTGCCCTCTCCCTCGCTGGCGCACAACTTCCCCCACATCTTCTCCCCATGCTTTACCTTTACCTTTCTCTTTCCTGAGCTCCAAGGGCTCTTCGTTGGCCTCTGTCATTTGTTTCCTGAGCTCACACCCAGCTAGCTCACTTCCTACTTCTGTAACTTTCTAAATAAACTTCCTCTTACCATTTGAGTCTTGTATCTGAATTATTTCTTAGCCAGAACTCAAGAACTGAGATCTCTGAACTCAGGTTCAGTCACCGGTGACATTCTGGTGCTGTTTCACCACCAACAGAAGCACACAAGCAGGTTTTTAAATAATGCCTGCCCACCCTAAGCTGGCTCATCCGAGGGCTGGGAGCTCCTGCTCCCTTCCACCTGTGGGCAGGCCAACCACCAGGCCATGCCACCGCAATGCTATTCTGCACAGCACATACAGAGAATAGCAGGAAATTGGGCCGACCTGTGCCCTGACCATAATCAAACCATGGCCTCCTGGTTCATAGGTCGACAACCACTGAGCCACACAGGCCGGCTGTTTGTTCCTTTTCAATATAAGTTCAATTATTTTTGCCTTCAACATTAGGAATGTAAAAATACTACATTTTATTATGCCATGATTTAAACCAGACATGATCTTACAAACTCTCAGAAATATGTAATCTTCTCTGAAGCGCTGCTATTTCCCTGTAATCTGTAGTGTCTGGGCCATATCAAATTCTCAGGGCATACTGTCCCTGTTTCACTGGCCAAGGCTGTTCACATTACTGGACTAAACCCTGCTCCCCCACCCCCATTCAGCCCACTGCATGTTCCCTCAGGCCCTGGACAGAGTTGGTGCAAATCTTGACTATGCCACTTACTAGCTATGTGACCCAGGCAAGTTACTTAACCTCTCTGTGCTCCAATGGCCTCGTCTGTAACGTCTGTAACGAGGGAATAACAATAGTAACTGCCTCCTGGGGTTGTTACAAGGATGGAATGGATATTTGAAAGAAAGCACCTGAGCCATGGTGTTACATAAATTTTAGCTTTTACAATTGGTTTTTCTATTTCCTTGCTTCCTTCCTGCTCTCCCTTCTGCCCTCTCCTTCCCCAGTCTTTCCCTCCCTCCCCCGCTTCAGGAGCTCTTCCCCTTGAAGCAGGGCTCAGCTCTAAAGTCATTTCCTCTGTGATGCTCCCTCCTCTGTGCCCATAACATTTTGTACACAGCTCGGTGTTGTGATTCTGGCCCCTGGTCCATGAGGTTGTCCCCAGCAAGGAAACAAACCAGCAGCACAACTCGCAATGCTCTTTCTCTCACCCAAACCCCAAGGGTGTGCAAGTCAATAGGGGTCCCCACCATGAGGATGGTTCTGAGCTCGAGGACCCCCAAGGTTGGTTACAGGACTGGACTAGCACCTGGAGGAGCCTATTCCCTTCACTTTCCAGAGTCCTGATCCCCTCCCATCTATGTTCTGCATACAGGCCTCTTTCACGCTGAAATGGAAGCTGCCAAAGCATTTGGGTGGGGTTACCACCCACACTTCATGGGGCCAAGCTGCAGGCAGAAAGGGTGCTGGTCATTCTCACCGAGGCTCCAGAGCTCAAGGTTTGTTCTTTCACTTTCAAGGCAAATAACACGGTTGACATCAGCCTTTTCCTCGGCACGCTGCCAGCTAGGCGTGCAGAACCCAGTCAGTCTGTCTTCTACTGAAAGTGTGCTGGGAGGGGCTCACAGCAGGCAGGTGGAGGTGGGGCGGGGGGTGGGGGTGGGAGTGGGGGAGAGAAGGGGTGGAGCAGCTGCTTCTGGCGTCCTGGCCCAGCGGTTCAGCCTTCCCCCTCCATCTCTTCCGCTTTCTCTAAAAATCAATGGAAAAAATATCCTCAGGTGAGGATTAACAACAACAAAAAAAACCTAAAGGAGATGTTTGAGATAGGGGGAGAGGAGGGGCGGGTGGTGACAACTCCAAAATATGAAAAGAAAACTGCAATAGTAAAATTAATAAATGTTTAATTACAGGTTTACAGATCATCATATCACATCAATTAATCCACAGTGTTTAGGAAGAAGAAGATTAACTGAGTCAGTTCCCATTGATCACAACAACTTACCAAACACGAAGTTGTCGGGCCTGAAGATCTGGCCGAATGGTCCAGACCTGACGGAGTCCATCGTGCCCGGCTCCAGGTCCACCAGGATGGCCCGAGGTACGTACTTGTTACCTGCGGGGAGGAAGAGCTGGACTTAGATCTGCGGTGGCAAAGGAATCAGACAAGCTGGTGCTCTCTGCGCCTTTCACAGCAGAGTTCCCTAGAGCTCATTCCAGCATGTGACACAAAAGGACAAGAATAGGGGAGCGTTGCTGCTTCATAAAGGAGCCAATGAGCAAGCTTGGCCATGGCAAACATGCAGGGTCTTAAGGCACTGTGGTGTGTTTTTTAGCAGCTGACATTTTAAATGAATGCAAGAAGCATTTCTCTGTCATTTGTATGTTCCTAGTACATTGCATCTGCCCCTGGATGGAAAGCAAGGTTGGAAGAAAAGCAAAAAACATTCAGATAATCACCAGCAGCTTCATTGTAGTACACATTGATTCTCTCCAGCTGCAGCTCGCTGTCTCCATGGTAACTGCCAGTGGGGTCGATCCCATGCTCATCACTGATGACCTCCCAAAACTGGAAATTTAAATTTAAAAAAATCACATGATGGCCTGGCTTCCTAAACATCAGTAAGGACGGCCCTTTTCTTCTCTGATGTCCTTGGGGCAGCGGCCATGGTGGTCAGATGGTCAAGGAGTCCCAGACAGGCCAGGTAGCTGAGCACCCCCGTCCCTCCAGCAGAGGCTGCTGAGAGGCTTGGAAACCGGCAGAGCATGGGCCATGTGATGGGGATAGATTGAAGAGCTGGGAGGGGCCTGAGGAGGAGGGTGGGCACAGCAGGTTGCCTGGAGGAGCTGTGGGTGCTGGGGAGGCTGGCACCCCCAGGCAGGGCTGAGGTCCCAGCGTCCAGGCTGATGGATGGCAAGACCCAGACCCAATTGGATCCCACCCTCTGGCTGCATTGGGAATCAATGTCTCCTGGCACAAGCCCCACCCCACCCTCCAAGTGTGCAGTTTCATGCCCCTGGCATCCATACTGGCCTCTGGCCACTGAGCTCAAGAGGGGTTGCGGGGAGAAGGCAGGAGCCTGGAAGCAGGATCGGGGCAGTGAGTGGAACTGGCCCTAGTGAGGGCACAAACTCCATTGTGAACTGGCAGCAGGAAAAGGGGGCAGGGAGGCTGGGTGGGCAATGTGGCGGTTCTGACAGAGACCTGTCCTTGTCCACACCCATACACCATGCTTGGGAGCCAGGAAGCCAGACTGGCATATGTCACCATGTCTAGATAGTGCTCACATTGGGCAAATGATCTAATACCTCATCTATGGGACTCTGTTGCTAAATAGAAACATATCTAGACTTCAGTAAGGAGCAACTTTAATCAAAGGCTAATGCAGTAGGGAGAATGCTCTCATCTCAGACACCAGCGTCTAAAATCATACAGAATAGGCTTTTCTTTCTGGGGAGGTTTGAGCAGGACCATGGAGCTTCGTGGGTGAGGAGGGAACAAGAGTAGGAAACAGGCACAAAATCGGGATGCTGCCACAGGAATATTTTTATCTGTTGTCAACAGATTCTCAGTGTGAACTGTTAAGGGGCATGGTGTTCACCTGTTTGCTTGCTTAAACTTGGGGATAACCCCAAATTCCTGGTTTGTGGGTGGGGGAAGCCTGACTAAAGTTGGGTGAAGCAGGGTAGAGGGTGGAAAGGGGCAGGGTGAGCACGTGTCAGCGCCCCTGTTGTTTCACACAGGCAGTCTGTGGTTAGCACTGCTAGGAACAGAAGAGAGCCATGGTGAGGTTGACTTTGGTCCAATCAGTTGTCAGGGGTGGGCTGGCTTCCACATTCCTGCTGGCCCTGAAGGACTAGCTGTTATCTTCTGCTGTGAAAGTTCCTAGACTGGCAGGTGAAGAGGGTCTTAGAGATCAGAGATTTCACAAGAGGCAAACTTAAGAATATGATGAAAAAGAATTATTATTAAAGTTAAACGAGGCAGTCGACCCACAATTTGAGTTTTAAAGGGAGCAAGTTGAGAAGGCTCAGAGATGTGGGGCCGGAGCACACTTAGGTGGCAGGGTTAGGATGACAGTGGCAATTTGCTGAGTTTCCAGGTTGCAGTGAATAGTTCTGGAGGTGGCATAGACATTTACGGGAACGCACACAGCGGTTCCTTCTGACTACTGCACAGGTGTTCCCTGGGGCAGCCAGGATCAGGTCCAATGCAGACTATTTGCTGTACTTCCTGTCGTTCTGTGGTGATGATGCTGGTGTTGTGGTAAGATTGCCTACCCTTCTGGTCATTGTCAGAAGCAGGGCGTGGAAAATGGGGGATTCTGGCAAACCTTCTGAGTGGCCCTGCCAGTTGCAGCTCCGGACACAGATTGTCCACACATGGTCTGCTGAGCGGCCCAGCCTTAGAGTCTTCCAGCCTCTCAGCTTCTTGTTCAAAAGCTTTTTGAGGACCTGGCAAGGACGGAAGTCAAACCTCTTTCTGTGTCTGGGATTCTGCACCTCGCCTTGCAGATGTAATGTGATTTTGTGCACCTTTTGGATCATCTAGGACCTGGTGAGCTGAAGTCAGAGGTGATAGTATAGTTATGGCGATAAAGGAAGGCAGTCTGGTTAAAGATTTGATAAGGGTTAACGAGATTTGCTAAATAACAGGATCTGTTTCAACTGCAGGCATGCTTTTCCCTTTTTTGTCTGTGCCCCTCTCCAGGGGCGACATTCGTAGACCCAACAGGTCATATGTACCCAAAGGTTGCACCCCTCCAAGCCCACTTCTAGTGCACGTATAACCCACCATCTCTGAGTAACCCAAAGGGCAGGCCATACCTGCGTATACCCCTAGGGCCCAGGGAGACTGCAGTGGAGAGGGAGGTGACGGAGTTTAGATGGGTGGGCTGGGACATCCACAAACATGCGCCCAAAGCACAGTAAAAACTCTGAACACTGAGCTCAGGTGCGCTTCCCTGGTTGGCAACACTCCATGCATATTGTCAAACATCTGTCCAGGTAAAGTAACATGTCCTGACTCCATGGAGGACAACAGAAATTGTGTGTTTGGTATTCCTCTGGACTTCACCCTATGTGCTCTTGGCTGATTTGAATTTGTATCCTTTCTCCATAAAGGCAGGAAGGAAGGAAGGAAGGAAGGAAGGAAGGAAGGAAGGAAGGAAGAGAAAGGAAGGGAGGGAGGAAGGGAGGGAGGGAGGGAGGGAGGGAGGAAGCTAGCTGTGAGTATAATATCTTTCAGTAAGTTCTGTTAGTCCTCCTAGTGAATTATCAGATCCAAGGGTGATGTTAGGGCTCCCTGACCTTGCAGTTGTTATCAGAAATAAGAATGATCTGGGAGGCTGTTCCCTCTAACTTGGCAGTTGGCCCAAATACTTCACAGTTGCTGTCAGAAGTGGAATTCACTAGCCTGACTGAAACACATGGTTCAAGAAAAGGAAGGATGAAAGGGTGGAGGCTGATGGGCCTTTGATTTTGGGGTAGCCACAGGTCACCTGTGGTATGGAACTATAGCTGTGCTATAATTAGTTATTGGAGGTAACAGTTACCAAAGGAATTTAGAAATGAAAACTCCAACTCCTGAGAAGTTGGCTCACTGGATGCATAAGAAAACCAAGTAACAAGAAATAAGCTAGTATCAAGCCTATTGTTGTTATCCGTAATAACTCAAATGAAAGGTTGAGTGTTGGACTGGATCTTGAGGCTGAACCAGTTTGGATTCAGACTGTTCTGAGGTACCTCAGGGCTGCCACCAAAGGGAATAGTTGGCTGCAGCCAGTGGAAACTAAGATTTACAAGACAATGAGGGGAAAGACAATGGGGAGAGTGCAGAGACCCATCCACTAGGATAGAAATCTTTAAACAGTTACTATCTATATATATAAAAGCCTAAGCAACCATCATGACCGAATGACTGGAACGACCAGTCACTATGACGCCCACTGACCACCAGGGGGAAGACGCTCAATGCAGGAGCTACCCCCTGGTGGTCAATGTGCTCCCACAGCCAACCTCCCATGGCTGGCCAACCTTCCACGGTGCCTCCCCATGCCCAGCCGCCCCCCCCCCCCCCCGCATCGGCCTCGATTGGGGGGAGCTGGCTGGCCAACCCTCCAGGGTACCTCCCCCTGGCCAGCTGGCTCCCGATAGGCCTCGATCATTGGCCAGGCTGATGGACCCCACTCGGGCCTCTAGTTGGATAAATAAAGTGGGTGTTGATGGGATAAAGATAAAGGTTGTGCCTCTATCTCATCTGGCAAAATTGGGGTTAACGAGTGAATGGAGCTGTATTTCCTAGTAGTCAAAACAGCCCACTAGTTCTGCACCTGTTAGCCCCACACTGTGTAAATGGAAGTGGACTGAGGGGAGGCACTTCTAGACCAGCAGTGGCCAAACCCAAATCCTTTCTAAAAAGTGCAAAAGTTTGATAAAGATAAAATGATAAATGTGGAGAAAGAGGAATGGTAGTGAAGGATAAAGGAACGAATACATGATTTATACAATGAGGATAGTAAAATATTTATATTGGTCCCTCAAGAAAGACTTAGCCCAATTATACCAGGTGCCTGAAGGGCAGAGCCACATGCTGCTGAGACCACTCTTGTTTTTGGAACCTGACCGGGTGAGTGGAAACCTGCAGAACTGAGCAGTGTCACTCAGACAACATCCCAGGACATGACGATGGACTGGACGGAGTGCTCGTGGTTCACTGGGCTCTGGTGATGTGGCAGCACCTGTGACTCTCACTTCTCAGGTCACCATACTGTGATGCAGTGTAGCACTGGCCTTGTTGGTTAGATTCAACCACCTTGCATAAATAGTCTTCTAAGATTGATATTGACAATCAAATATTTTGAGAAATTGAGTTAAAATCTCCTCAAGATGTAACAAAATGACTGGTGTGGGGAAGAACTGGACTTACCTAACCATCAGCTCATTTTTAGGTTTAATAGTTATGTGTAAGTTTATCATGATACAAATAACAGCAAATTAAGAGTGGGGAAGAGTCAACTTCATA